CCACAAGCACACGACACACGCACGCACGCACACACACGCGCGCACGCGGCACGCGCACGACAGCATACAGCACGAGCATAATATATACTAGCGGGATAACCGGGCTTTTACCGGGGGAGATCGAGTGGCGTTTCTCATTCGTGCACCGCTTGGTTGAAAGGAAAATACCCAAAAAAGTATATAACTACTCTATCGAGTATGCCATGCATCGCTCCATGCATCCTGTCCATCCATCCCATTCCATAGGCCATGCCCTCGCCAGTCGCACGCATGCCATCCACAGGAGTTCTATCAATAGGAGCTGATCCATCCCTGCCCTATCCCTCCAATCCCATTTCATGCCATCCATTGACATCCCACGCAATGCATGCCATGCATCCATCCCATCCAGGGCCATACCCATCCCATCGCATAGCCATAGCGCCTATGCTATTCCCATCCCGCCATCTCAAACAAATATAATACACGAAATTCAAAAGCATAAAAGACATTAAATATTAATAAAAATTAAAATTAAAAAATTGAAAAAAACATACTAAGAAGTAGGTAAAGGGGAAAAACGGTGGAAGATAAGTTTCCCAGCTGGGACTCGAATACCCGGAATCCGTGTAGGAGACGATGTATTCTAGCGATTAGGCCAGCTCCGCGCGTTAAGGGTATAACCATGAATTCACACGTAACGTAGATGTTAATCTGGTACGCACCGGCCATCTATTGATTGAATAGAATTTTTATGAATGTGTAACTTTTTAACTGTTTTAACTTTTTGTTTCAGGCCAGAACCACCTCCCAGACGTGCTGAATCTGTAAAATACTTTAGTTTTCCTCTAGGGCGGACGTTGTTCTAGTTATTGCGGAGTAGAAGACTTAATTCGGTCTGAATCAACTTTATGTATAGAATTTTGCACAGGGCGAGAGATAGTGATCCGCTAGGGAACGCGCTGCTGATTGCCTATTTTGTCTGCTTATTAATTTTATTTTTTATGATTTTTGGCTTAATGTTTGTTTAATTTTAAAACTTAGGGATAGGGATTAGGGTTAGGGGTTAGGGTTATAGGATTAGGGTTAGAGGTTAGAGTTAGTGTTAACTGATTCTATATCCACAACTTTTTTTTAGCCTATCTGACTCGTCAGATGCAGCTTGTAGAATCGCATGATGTCGTGCCGGCGTCCGTCCGTCGGTGCGTCATTCCGTCAACAGTTGGGCACACAATCTTAACCGCTCGACGTTACGCGTCACGCATATTCGGGTCGTGGGGGAAATCGTCAAATACGAGTTGGGATGTCGAAAGCTGGGCGTCAGAGGTCAAAGGTCAGAGAGGTGTAAAATGAAGGGGAACATTCACTCTTAAACTTAAGGTATAGGGAGGAAAATGCAGAATTGGCGGGCCACAAATCTAAAGGGGTCGACTAAGGCTCGTGATAGTCGGTGTATTATAGGCATCACTGGGTAGGAAAAGCCAGTCACCTGTGCGAAATTGAGGTCACAGGTCAAATGGTCAATGGGCACAGGGCAGATTTTAGACATTTTTCTGAGGACCCCCATTTGGTCCTGACGGAGCGATTGAAAACTTTTTTGTTTCAGCGGTGAGCCTAGCACTTTTTATGGCTTTATATGAAAGGACCATGAGATGTCGCCTTCTGCTGACATGCGAAGATAGTGTCGGATAACCTTGTTGACCCCAAGAGGAGGTTAAACAGTAGGATTTGTATTTACTGCCTGTTAGAAAGAATTTGACTGCCGGGATTGCTAGTAAGAATCTATACTGGCCTGGATGTATCAGGCTCCAATGTCACAGTGAAATTTCAAAAGCTAAGATTTGGTTGAGAAGTGTTTATCGGCTCCTTAAATACGTTATAATTTCTATGGTCATTCTATAGATAACCGAAGTGTGACGATCAACGTTGCGAAGACAACGTACGGGGCTGGTTCTCACAGCAGCCACTGCTCATAGTGTAGCCATTGTGGTACAACGTGTGGCGTATCGTAAAAACGAGTTTCGTGTGCGCTAGACAGCGTAAAGCATTCGGTTAGCAAGTCGTTCTTACAATATTAATGAATAAAAAAAAATTTGGAAAAAAATTTTTTTTGCTTGATAAATTTTTTTTTTTTGATTAAATTTTTTTTCCCCCCGTTGCTTTTCACTTCTCATCCTTTGATAATCTATTAAAAACTTGCAATAATGACTCTCAGAATGCTGGTTACAATCGCGGTAGCAAAATCATCGACACGCAGCTTATGTTACCAGAGCGATATGATTGTGTAGAAACAGTGGGCTCTGTTGTTCATGCCACCGTGACGTCATCACTTCGTACTCTAATACTGTGCAGATATGTTACGATGTAACGTATCGCCACTGTCAGTGAGCCAACTGCAGTTTTTGCCTGCGTTAATTGGTTTGCATGTGGGCAGCTCTCTATGCAGGCGCTGTAGGCTGCGTAGGTTAATGTGATGAGTGCTACCGTATTTCATCTGTCCTTAGCGAGATAGTTGTTGCTACTACGTACGATGGGAGCTTCCATCTTTAATCTGAAGACACTTAAACGTACGCGCCATCTCGTGGCAACTTTCATAACGATCGCCAACGAACATTCCTTGAGAATGGTTCCTGATACCATAATCCTGTGCATTCCACTGTTTCGGCGTGTATGTGAACACTTTTGGGACTAACAGGGTTTGACTAGAATCCCACACTCTCACCACAGAGTCACCGCAGTGAGACGTTAGATGAGCGCTGCGGCACTTGTTTTATATTCACTATCTCTCCCTGAGAACCTACTGCTTTAATATATCATATAATATTATATATATATATATATATATATTAATATATATATATATATTATGTAACGAGCTTCGGCTGCTATAGCCTCATATCCGCGCATCCTATCGTCCTGTTGCGTGTCTCAGCATCCCAGGTCGATGCACAGCATTCCTATTGGCCATGGCAGCGATCACGTGATTCCCACCGGTTGTATGAAGGAAACCTGTGGGGTGATGTGTGGCTTGTCATGTGATGTGCGTGACATAAAATATGACTTGATCACGCGTCTCTTGTGATGCATGATGGGAAGGTAAGAAGCCATACCCACGCTGAGCTTGTGGTATAAATACGGGACTCTGCTCTTAGTACGGCAGTATACGATCTGGAGCGACCGAGACGGGTCAAGACAGCATTGCGGCCACAAGGAATTCTCGACTAGATTTACCCGATCATAACCGTCGTTTGTTGTACAACCGATTTTTGTGAGTATATTATTACTTATGTTGATACTATCATTGACATAGTTGACAGTATATTCCCAAGAATTGCGATAGATTGTGATTGATAACTGATCGATAACTGATGCTATCTTTACAATAGAGAAACCCTATTTTTATTTATTTAGGCAATTATCCATCATATACAATACATAGCATACTTTTACAATAAGATTCTGAATTCATAAAATTACTACCAAGGATATATACACAAAAAGCATACTTATTTACTTTGTGGTCCTTGTTTTTCTATGCCTTGAATCTTTGTTTGTAGTTTTAACAGGTCATACAATGGTACATTTTCATAAGACGATACAGACATTTCTTAACCCTATACTTAAAACTAGAATAAACAGAATTTGTCCTAACTTGCTGTGGTAGAGAGTTCCAAGCTTCAATTTTATTATAAGTAAATGAGTTTTTCCCACTGCTTCCCACCCTCTGTTTAAAAATAGACATCTCACCTTCCCTTGTATTGAAACTATGGACTTCTGACGTTAACATGAAACCTTCTGTCATATACCTACTGTGGGCCGAGATTCTGTAATATTTTAAAAACCCTATTGACTTTTAGTTGCATTGCCCTGAACTCTACAGGTACCCAATTTACAGCCTTGAACTCTCTAGCACGTATGTGACACACTTGCAGCTTAGCCCTTGTGCGCTTTGTAAGACTGCTGTACCATATACTGCTTGCATAGTCAAAATGACATTGAATTAGTGCAGAAACTAGTGCTCTGTGTTTAAATACTTAGCTTTTCTGGAAAGAAATTTCAATCTATTGTTAACCTTTTTTACAACCTTATTTCCCGTTACCTCACCACTCATGGAGTCTTCCAAGTTTATTCCTAGATACTTCTGTATTTTTATGTGCAATTGCCACCCATTACATCTGATGTACAGTTGCAAGGACAAATGACAATTATTATCATTAAGCCATTTATTAATGGAATGCAATTATCTACTTAATTCTTCCTGTGTAGCATGTACCTCTGTCCTTGAAACTATCATGTGTCCGCATGGAGATGATCGCGAATTCTGTTACATTCATTACACTTATACTGGCCTTAAAGTTCAGCTTTACTATTAATGTTGTTATTAGTCTGTGATACGTAAGATATATGACGACATTATATTATGTATTGATAGCAATGGCGTATTATGTACGTTTAGATGGCGAGCTCAATCATCGTAGGTTGCATCCTGCTGGCACTACTCTGTGTGAGTATATATATAATCTATGTTTATCTGCAAATCCAATAATTCTGTATTTTCTATTCTAATATTATGCTATATGTTTGCGCGTTTGATATGATGCGACGCATCGGAAAGCACATAAATGCTAGGTTTTGTGGAAGTTTGGCGGTTTACTCAAAACGTATAACGGCATTGCAATATTTTTTCCTCACACTAGCTATACATAATATATGCCGAAGGAATATGACAAGTTCGTACGGGGATTCAGAGTACAGTAAACACGTTTATACAGTTATACGGTTTATACGGATTATTAAGGGAGAGTGAGTAGGGTATTGATAGTGTGCATTGACGTTAAGGATAAACTTTTGACGAGAGCCGCCCCCATGCAGCTAGATTAACAATCCCGTTTCAACGGCGTGGGATACATTCGTCTACGCAGGTCGCATCGGCACGGAGATCCACCTACCGGCAGGCAATCTGTGAAAATTCTTCCGGCAACATTTGCTGCCCCGACGACACCTGGATCCAAATTACATCCATGGCGTACGGCCGGCAGCCGGATTCGGCCGGTCTCTGTCCTGGAACCAACACAAATACAAATAACTGCGTTCAGTTCGACGATGTCATCGGTTACATCTCCCACTGCTACGGCCAGAGGTGCTGCACGATCGCTGCCACTAACGCTGGCCTTGGCAGTGATCCCTGCGTCGGCACGACCAAGTACGCCATCGTCACCTGGACCTGTACCTGTAGCCCTACCTAACCCTATATTTTGTCACTATATTTTCTTCCGGATTCGTCTTGTACTAAAGTTATCATTTTTTGACAAATGTACTCAACGCCGTCGCCGGGCCGAGCCGGCCCGTCGCCTTTTCACAACGGAGTGATGGGATAGACAGTTATGCTGTCTTAATTTTCACGTGGCACGGCGTATGAGGCATATAGGACGTTCAGAATCCCTAGTGCTGCCCTGGGAGGATGTTCTGGGGCTCAAACAAAATCTATTGCTCGAATAGATGGTGCTACGTAATTGCTCCAGATACCCAGGCCGAGACCCCGCGTACTGCAAGATTCAGCACGAAAGCTGCTCACGTCTGGGGTCTTTGACGTACACGCGTACTGACACATGTCAGTGCAAGTGGCCAGTATTGCTTGTGCTGCCAGTGATTCCTTGTTGTACCCAGTGCAGTGGTTGTTCATTTTTATCAGTTACATCGAATATAACTATTGAATCTGTGTCACTTTACAATGAGTTTATATTTAAAAAATTAAAGACACAAAAGACATTTGCAGTTCTCTACGGTATACTTGTACCTCGCTAGTTATAATATAATTAATCAATAATAATATATTGCAGCAGAG